ATGTAACAGAGGCTTTGAGAGCGTCAGATTTCACACACTGAGCATTAACCCTCTGGTAGTGTGTAGGCAAGATAGGAAAGACACCATGGATCACCTTATAAGATCATATCAGTGCTATAGACAAAGTTAGGTTGTATAGATAACCAAAAAGCCTTTTTACTTTGCTAAGGCGAGGAGAATACTTCATGAAATTAAAATTAGTACCAGAAATACATATTCTCAGCACGTAATTTAGGACTCCCCTTATTCGTTCCTGTGTCCCCATAGTGCCAAATATGCCTACCAGAATAGGTTAAATATTTATTGTATTGAGTTAGCCATTAAGAACTAAAAATACTTTTGCAAATTCTGTGTAAGTAAAAGGAAAATTGAAAAAGGTACAGTTACTTTGGGGGACATGAGATCATGAATGTATGTGCCATAGATTTCACATTAATTAGTTGCTTTAACTTCCAGATCATTTTCTTCTACATTATCATATTTGGTGGCTAACCATTATTACCTCTTAGGTTGTTGTGAGAATTGAATGATATTATTAATTAATATAGAGTATTTGCACATAATAAGGACTTAAATGTTCATTATTATCTTTTATTACTAGCATGAGCCCCACTTTGTGATTGTGAAAAGGTTAACATAGAGTTGACAATGGTTATTTGGCATTTTCCATTTTTAGCATACAAGAAGAAATCTCTGCCTTGCTGGAAGTTTAGGCTGTACCACTCAAAAGAGAACAGAGAGGTGGATTTTTCATAAAGGAAAACTAAATACTAATTTCTTTGGGTTGCTTCTAAAGTAGGATGACGTGAGAGACTGAGGTGCTTGCATAGACCCAACAAGTCGTTTCCCTCAAGTGTGAATGGACCCTTCTACCTTAGAATGATAAATAGTATATTATTTGCTGTTTACAGCAACCTGTGCTGAATTTATCTATTTGAATAAAGGCTCCTCTTCTAGCAGAAATAAAGCAAAGCTGAGTTTTGGGAGACGGGTAAATATACAGTGCCAGAGTTTACTTTCTTAGATCTTTGTAATGGAGCAAATCAAGCTGGACAGAAATCTTCTCTCGAATATATTTATTTAAGGGTATGATTTCCCCATATTTCCTTGAAAAACATCTGATCCATATAGGTATTTACTCATTATGTTCTCATTGATTTATAATATGAGGGAATGTTTAATTCAAATTAGGGACACTAAAAGGATATAGACTTTCATATTGAACTTCCCATTCTGTAGATTGCATTAATCGTTTGAAGAATGCAGAGATTTCACAGTAACGAAAACAGGAATTTTATGACTATTTTAAAGCATTACTGAATACTGGTTTCCTAAGAAAGCACATTTGTTGATAAATTAAATATTAATACTAAAACATAAACAGAATGCAGAATTTAAGTTGCATAATAACCCAGAAGATGGTAATGCTACATAAATTTTTTAAATGGCTTTTTAGATCAATAGGAAGTCAAAGTTTTCTTAATTAAAGAAAATAAGAACTATTCATGGCATAACAAAATTCTAGTCATTTGTATTTGTTTCACAAGTGGAAATGATAGTTCATGTATTGTTTTAAATTGTATTGAAACCCATCTTTTTCAGTGTTGCCAAAGCAGTACCTGACAGTAATAAGGGTTCCATAGTTGTGTGTTCCTTGGAGTGATAATAACTATGCATCTGAATCGTATTTTAATAAACCTGGTCCAAACTCTTTTGTTTCTAAGTTGAAGAAACTGATTTCCAAGGAATATGACCTGCCTCATCTCATACAACTAACTGTAAGACATCTCGAGTTACAACTCTGCTGTTAGGTTTTACAATTGTTTTCCACTCTCCACTTCACAATTTCAATAATCTGATGAAACTTTCACATTGACTTTTTAACTGTGGTTATTATTAATTAATTTAATTGATTATTGTTCTATTACCTGTTTCCTTATTCCACCACTGCTTTCTCGATAACTGTCCACCATATCAAAGCTGTTTAGGTAGGAAATGGTGAAGTTTCTTATATTCTGTGTCATGCACTAAGATACAATAGAGAAAAGAAATTTCACAAAATAGGGAAATTCCAGTATTAGTCATAATCATTCCCAACAATAAATGAATACAAGAAACTTAGATTTCCCTAATTTAATCTTGGCTCTGATTACAATAGTGCTGTATAGAAAGGTACTTAAATCCATATGCTTCCCAAGTGAAATTTTGCAAGAATGGATAAGGATCACCACATGTATTCACTGTTAAACTAGAACTAATTAGTAAACACACATGTGCACATTTGGTGGTAAAACTCAGGGGAAAGTAAGCAGACCAGAGGGGGCAAGAAGGGGAGCAGTAAATTCACATCTAGGGGATGCAATGCACACTTTCTGGGTGAAGGGCTGACTTATAATTTTGACTCAAACTGTACAAAAGCAATTGATGTAACGAAACATTAGTACCCTCATATTCTGAAATTAAAGAAATAAATGTTGTAGTATTCTGAAATTAAAGAAATAAATAAACCTACATGCTTCCATTCTATATAAAACAAAAGTATATATTATCAACTTTCCTAGTTCCCATTTACCTTTGA